AGTCAATGTAATCTGAGGGACGTTGTCGTTTTTATCCCAAACTCTTACTAAAACGGTGCAATGACCCACCATCGGAGGGTGGCCTTTGTCCGTCGCGTCGATGCGGATTTTGTACAATTTTACTTGTTCAAAATCCAGATTCCCCTGAGTTACTATCTCCCCGGTATTTGGATCTATGCTAAACTGCTCCATAATCATGGTTGGAACAAGGCTATTAAAAGAGTATGAAATCGCGCCATTCGCTCCTTCATCCCGATCAGAAGCATTCAGTCTGATCATTGTCGTTCCATTGTCCGAGTTTTCAAATATTCTTACTTCATATTCAGACCGTTCGAACGCGGGAGCATTATCGTTCACATCCAGCACAGCGACAAGCAGCTGAACGGAGCCTGTGAGCTCAGGCTTGCCCCCATCGGTGGCTGTCAGAAGTAGGCTGTGTTCAGGAGCGTCCTCTCTGTCCAAGGCTTTTCTTAATAGAAGCCCAACTTGCTTATTGTCAGCACTGTCTGTTTTCACATCTAGCACAAAATATTCGCTGGAACTGAGTTTATAGGTTAAGATGGAATTTGAGCCCACATCAGCATCGGACGCGCCCTCCAGTGGAAACAGATAATCTGGCAGCCTAGATTCGTAAATCAGCACTCTTTGTTCCTCTACCGGGAACACAGGCGGGTTATCGTTAATGTCCCTCACCTCCACCTCCACGTGGAAAACCTGCAGCGGCCGCTCCACGAGCACCTCCAGGTGGATGCTGCACTCCAGGCTCCGCCCGCACAGCTCCTCGCGGTCGATCCGAGAATTCACAAACAAAATGCCGTTCTGCAGATTCACCTCCAGAAGGTCCCCGCGGCCCTTGGACGCCACCCGGAACAGGCGCGGCACCAGCTGGGCCAGCTCCAGCCCCAGGTCCTGCGCGATGCGGCCCACGAAGGTGCCGTGCTTGGCCTCCTCGGGGACCGAGTAGTGGAGCTGGCCGCTCCCCGCCTCCCAGGCTGCGACCAGCAGAAGCAGCAGCAGACACCGAGTTCCCCGTCTGTCTTCCAGGGTAAACACCATGTCAAATACTTCTTGTTTAATTTACATTAGAAGATGGTCAGCACAAAGATGAAATACTGTATGATTCCGGGTTTATTAATCCAATTCTGCGTCCGCCATCATTCAGCAGTCATGAAAAGATGCCGCGATTGAAGAAAAGGGCTTTCACTATTATTGGCTTGATATAACTTCATGGTAGACAGCGACATCATGCGGTTCCATAAGGTAAGAAATGAGCGCACATAACCGCGCTATATTTCTTTAATTTTTTTAAAGTAGCTTCTTTACTTTATTTCTATAGTAAAACCTCCTTGTGCTTGTAATTTGCAGAGTTAGTGACAGCTTTTATTAATTTAGAGTAAAGGGTCTAATTATTTACAACGAAGCCACTTTTTCTACCAATATTTTAAACATTAGTATCACCCAAGCTTAATAAATTTAACTGTTACTCGAACTGCTCTTGGAAATTAGAAATATGAGCTATTCTACACACTTTTGGTAGAAAAGAAACTTGCCCATATATGTCTGTCATAGGACACACTATTATACGTTGTTCTGGGGAAAATGTAATTTAAAATAATCATAGTTTGAATTTTTAAATCTCAAAGATTATTGAAGTTCATTCTCTCTTTGTTCAATAAATATCAAATACTCTTAAGACTCTTTTACACAATAACAAAAGTTGAAAAATTCGGTGCTTTTTTTTTTTACAACATTTCTTGATATCTCTGCAGTTTATATTATTAAAATATTTTCCTTTCATAGTGTTTGCCAGTTGAAATTCTAGTGGAATTTCCACCCATTATTTTTTGCTGCTCTTGATCATTCAGGAGTTCTTCAATAATCTTAGCCTTTTCTCTCCACCTCAGTCCCATTCTGTATTCTTTAATTGTTCTCACCCTCTCCCAAGTTTCAAATAAGACATTGACTGAGATATTCCCAAACCCATATCTTCATCCCCCCTTTCTATGTTTCTAATTGTCATTTTCACCTGTACATACTTACTCCGAGAAAACAATCTGTTTACTATCAAAGAATGACTAATTACTAAAAACCCCCAAACTAAAATTCTTGAAATTTATTTTTTTAATGGCATGAACACTTTTCATGTCATCCACATTACTCTTTAAATTACTCCTTCTCTCTAATCTGCCTTATTCAAAGTTCATCCACACTTCTTCTCCTGTCTTTCATATACCACCATAATTATCTTAATGAGTATGGTTTTCACTGAATTTTACTAAGCCTAAGACATTAGAATCACTTAAAGCAACCTAATGTGATCACAAGTCAACTTTTCCAGGGTAATTTTCAGTTACTCTTCAATATAAATTTAATTTTGCTGACAATGCAGACCAGTTGCTCTTCTTTGCCAATATACCCCTGGTTCAAGTTTGGGTTTTTTAATTACCTCAATATTTACCTGCAAAAAAAAATGTTAGCTCATATCAAAGTCAAGCCCAAAGCCTAAACTTCACCTTTAATGTACCCTTAATGTCATCAATTGGACTTGACTAAACCCCTCCTTGAAAGAAGAGTCATTTAAACAACTTTTCAAATGACACATGTCCATCCTCATCTTCCTCCAAAATGCTGACATGTTTTAAACCCTCACAGATGCTTGTAATACAAAGTTCTTTCTTCCATGACAAAATCTATCTTAACATAATTAATCCAGAACTACTTAGTAGTCCTTATCACTAACTTTCTATTGCAGTTATTTTTGGCAAGCAAATAGTCCATTTTGTTGAAGGTTTTCTGTAGTGTCTAAGGTTTTCTACATAGTTTACCCAAGTAATGTGTACTTTCTACACTAAATTTTATATGAAGTGTGAAATTTGCATTATCTGGTTAACCCATGTACCCCTCACCCCACAAAAAAGAGTAGAGAAATGGTTTCCATTTTTTTAGATGGAAAGGACATTTGTCTACGGTAGATTCAAATGTACAACTTAGTAATAGACAACTTTTTGTAAACAACAAACTCAAGAAGAGTTTGTATCAGAATATATTTTTTAACCTGAAAATAAAAAGCACCAAAAACAATAAAATTTTCTAACCAAAATATTTTCACAACAGAGGAGGTTTCTAATTACTTTTCATCAATATGCTAATTTATAGACTGGAAAACATGCAAGTTTCAGGAAGACTGAGGAGGGAGGATTGCTTGAGCACAGGAGTTCAAAACGACCCTGGGCAAGACAGCAATACCTTCTCTCCACAAAAGAAAAATTTTTTTAATCAGGTAGGCATGGTGGCATGTTCCTGCAAGTCCATTACTTCCGAGGCTGAGGAGGGAGGATTATTTGAGCCCAGGAGTTCAAGGCTGTGATGAGCCATGATCAAAGCCACTATACTCCAGTCTGGGTCACAGAGTGAAACCTCGATTTAAAAAAATAAAATAAAACAAAGAGGTGATGTTAAAACATTTTATGTAGTCATAAAATGAGATTTTGGAAATGACCTTAAAATATATATATATCTCCAATTATTTTCCTGTAACATTTTCTAGAGATTCAAAATTAAAGTGCTTATAAAAATATATTTTGAAAATACCTGATATCATAAAAACATAAATCGAATACCTGTAACAGTAAAAGCCTCAAAAAAAGAAAATAGCTACTATAGGACTGAATGCAAAGACATCACTGCCAATAAGTGGATTTTAAATATAGCTGTAATTTAAAGCCCATAAGTTAGTACCAATACAGGATCAACAAACATCTAAGAAGCTACAATAATAATGCTGTATTAAGCTGTAATTTTAAACATCTAATATATTGGAGAAACATATTTAATATTATACAACACGGAAGAAATACTGATGTAATTAAGATTTTTGAGACTCACGTTTTCTGTTGAGGTGGGACCCTGAGGAAGGCTGGGGCTGAAGGCCATGAGGTCGGTCTTGGGCGGGCCCTCCCCAGAGCACACCCTCTGCCGCCTCGGCCGCGAGGACGACCAGCTCCCAGCCGCGCTGGAGCACACCAGCGGGGGCTTGCCCGGCCCGCACGCGCCCTCGGGGGGCGGCGCCGAGCACCGCAGCGCCGTGTACAGCAGCAGCGTCAGCACCAGCAGGCTGGACACCGCGCAGATGGCCACGATCAGGTACACGTTGACGTCCACCAGCGCGGACCCGGGGCCCGCGGAGCCCGCCAGCGCCCGCGACGCGGCCTGGGGCGCCTGGCCGCCGTCCACCAGCGA